GTGTTGTGTGGCAAATGCTTCTTTATTTTAATTCTAAAATCTCAGAGCACTTTAGCTTCTTCATTTTTTGTTACTTGTCTGTTTCATAACCTCACCAGTTCGTACTTACAGGCAAATGTATTTTATTTTTTATTTTATTTATTAAACTTATACGTTGCCCCACTTGCCAGAGGCAATGTACAAATATTGGATTAAATTCAGAATAAAACATTAAAACAATAAATAAAGATTTTAAATTTTAAAAAATTAAATTAAAATGAAATTAAGCAGGAAGGAGAAGAAGGGCGCAAAATGCAATGATATTTTTGGCAGGTATTCCAATGCACCATTGTTGCTACATTTTTGTGCTGAGGTTTGTAATCAATCTGTGAGATCCTTTTGCAGCTACTAATCAGGTGGCCCATGGTTTGTTTAATTTTTTTGTAGAGTTGGCATTTGCTGCCTGTTGCTGTCTTCTCAATTCTGCTTTTATATGCATTTATTCTTAAAGCTTGATCTTGTGTAGACAGAATTAGACTATTTTTTTCTTCAAATTTCCTGCCCCTGGCCTAGCCATTACCAGGTCTTGTTTTCTCTGCTTTGATTGCTAGTTGTTTTTTTTTTATGTACTGTCTGTGTAATACTTTGCCTCGCCATATCTCTTTTCTATTCTTCATTTGGTCTTTCTTGTAAATCAGTTTGGTTTCTTTGGTATTCAATAAGCCTCCATGGTGTAGCTTTGATGCATATTCTTCACTGTGCTCTTGCTATATTTTAGATTAGCCATCTTTGCTGTAGTCTAGCGGAATAATTATTTTCTATTTTTTGCAGGAGCAACATCTCCTTTCTCCATCTAGTAAACTGGAAGTTCCTCCAGTCATTCAACTTGACTTGGATAAGAATGCAAATACCGTTACCAAGTTCTTCACTGAATTCTACAAGCTTTTGGAGGCACTTCCGTCAAATCTTTTGAATCCACAAATGGGTGGCAGAAAAAGTAACTATCAAGCTGTTTTACGGGCAATGAGAAAACTGGGTCACACTTGACAGGTCAATTTCCTGGCAGATATTTAAGAATCTGGTAGCACGTTGTTAAAATCTCAGTCTAGCCACACTATGCATCCAATGAAGTGAGTTGGAGCTCAGAAAAGCTCATGCCTTTTCTAATATTTTATTTTCTAATAAAATACTAATTTGAGCTCTTCTCATTTAGCTCTGTTCAGGAGGCTGCAAAGGGAGCATCAGGAGAGCTACATACATGCACCACTTTTTTTAAAATTTTATTTATTTTCAAAATACATACAAAATTTACATTTTAACAGTTCTGTGTCAAGCGTTACTTATATACTTAAATACAATATTTACAATTCTTCTCCATATCAAAGCTTATTTCTCTTGTCTAACCATATATATAACATTTCCCAAACCTCATAGAACTCAGACTCTTTTTTACCTTTTAGTTTTCTCATCAGTCTGTCCATCTTGACACAATCAAGTATTTTATTTATTATATTTTCTGAATGTACATAATTATTTTCCAGCTTTGGGCACAAGCAATTCTTGCCGCTGTTAATATATGTCGTACGATGATATGTTTCTTTGGGTTTCCTTTAATCATCCCCACCAAAAAAAGCTTCTGGCTTAAATTCAATATCGTACCCTGTAATTTCTCTTATCCATTTTTCAATTTTTCCCAGTATTTTTTAACTTTGGGGCATTGCCACCTCATATGATAGTATGTTCCATCTGTGAGCTTACATTTCCAGCATTGCGATTTCATATTAGGGTATATTTTGGCCAATCTCGCCGGTGTCAAATGCCATCTATAAAATATCTTGATTAAATTTTCTTTATATGCTGTTGATAACGTTATACGTGCACCACTCTTAACTGCCTACCACAGCTGTGAAAAAAAGAATTTTGAATGTAAGAGGATAATACTGTAAGAATAATAGGAAAACTATTTCGATTAGCCTATTGAAACTTGATTTGTGTAGTAAGATTATTCAAATGGATTCCCCACAATAGTCTGCAAAGTCCAGATCACCTAAGCGATTTTTTTCACCCAAAAGATATACTTCTGAGACAGCAACTCACCAAGATGTCATTTAAAAAAATCTTTAGTAACTTCCAGATTCATATATTTATTGCCTCTTTTTCATTTACCACATGAAACAGATCACATTTCTGTTCTTTTTCCTGAGTGATTAATAAAATCAAGGATGGTATTTTCCCAAGTGTCATGGCGGATTTTGTTGATTTATTTCAGGTTTGTTCCTGTTCAAAGCTATAAATGTATATGTACCATTGAATGGCTTTTACAAATGCGATTTAATCATTAGAAACTTTTTTTAAAAATCCTTCCATTTTCCCACAAATGCTGGGACTTTCCCCCCCCCCCCCCCGGATCAACCAAGTGTTGGTTCCAATGGTTGCAACAGAAATTGACCAACCACCTTGTTGCCTGAACATGATGTTCTAGACTGTGAAGAGAGTGACTACCCCAAGTCACCCAGCTAGCTTTCCTATCTAATGTGGCACTTGAACTCACAATCTCCTGATGTCTAGTCTGGTGCCTTAACTACATGACCAAACTGTTCTATTATTTTTAATAGCTATATTCTATTACCATTTGGAAATTTTTTGAAGTTTGCTTTCTTCCTGCTATTGAGTTTTTCTTCTCTATTGCATTGTGCAGTCAGATTTGAGCCAAAGGTATTTGTGGAGAGGATGCCTGGACCTTGTCTTTCAGAGAATGAACTCAGGACAAAGCTTCTAAAGGGTAAGAAACTGGGCTGATAAGTGGGGTCTCATTCTTTAATATTTTTATTTTATTTTTATTTTAAAAAATTATATTGCTGCCTACTCACACATGGCAACTCAAGGCGGCTTACAAAGATATAAAGATACACAAAGATGTCTCCCACTTGATTGTTTTGTCAGTGAATGCACTCTCTTCAGTGGTGGGATTCAAATTTTTTACTAACGGTTCTGTGGGCGTGGCTTGGTGGGTGTGGCAGGGGAAGGATACTGTAAAATCTCCAGTCAGAGGTGGGATTTGCCGGTTCTCCAAACTACTCCAAATTTCCGCTACCAGTTCTTCAGAACTGGTCAGAAGCTGCTGAATACCAACTCTGACTCTCTTCCAGAAATTTTAGTTGCAGTCCTAAAAGGAATTTATACAGTTGCCCAGAGACTAAGCATGGGACAGCAATACAAAGTTATACAAGATACAGCTCCCTCTCCATTAAAAGAAGAAAAACACTCCTTATTTACTCCATGTTGTAGAATGGTGACTACATTGGCTGAATTTGCTGCTCCCTGTTCATGTAAGAAGTTACTTATGTGACTAGGCTTTTCTTTGTATGTGTAAAGCATGTTGATCCTTGTGTTTGGTAATTCTAAAAAATAGTTCTCAGAAACAGATCTGTTTTCCAGCTGAAAACCTGCTCCCCCAGCTGCTTGTCTCAGTGATAACGAGACCACCCAAAATAGGAGATGACAAATAGTAACCCAAAACAGGAAAAATATATTTTCACAACAGCAGGTCAAGTGCCCATTACTAATGCTCAAGGGGTTTTATGTTCCCTATTTGGTTTTCCCTTGGCTTCACTCTTTAAATATATTCTCTATGCTTATATATCTTTAAACATATTCCATGTGCTTTTATATCTTTTTGTATGAGCATGAAATAAATTCCCAGATTTCCCTGTAAACTCTGTTTTGCCTAAGCATTATCTGGGTCAGTTGCCTTAATAGTAATTCCAGATAAGAGTTCAAATGTGCTTAACAGGGATGGGACAAGTACCATAGTGGACACTTCTGCAGCTCTCCCTTCTCCCTTCTTCTGGATGGAAGAGTTTGTAATCTAGCCAGCCCTTCGCCATGAAAGTCAGCTGGGTGACCTAGATGAGGATATATTGGATATGTTTGCTGCCTTGAGTTATTTGTAAAAATAATAAAGGATAAAGGTAAAAGGTAAAGGTTCCCCTCACACATACTTCCAGTTGTTTCCAGCTCTAGGGGGCAGTGCTCATCTCCTTTACAAAGCCAAAGAGCCAGCGCTCTCTGAAGATATCCGTGTGGTCATGTGGCCGGCATAACTAAACACCAAAGGCGCACAAAACGCTGTTACCTTCCCACCAAAGTGGTCCCTATTTTTCTACTTGCATTTTTACATGCTTTTGAACTGCTAGGTTGGCAGAAGCTGGGACAAGTAATGGGCGCTCACTCCATTACGTGATGCTAGAGATTCGAACTGCCAAAGTGCTGACCTTTCTGATCAACAAGCTCAGTGTCTTAGCCACTGAACCACTGCGTCCCTAAAAAAGGATATAAATAACCAAATAAATAAAATTGGTAGACCTGGGAGTCTAATGTAATGAACAGCCCTGGTACAAGTAAATATATATCTGTGGGTTTCTCTTTTCCATCCGTTGACAACATTTCCCTGCTTATGGATACTGTTTGAGGATTGGATATTTTTCTCTAAATTTGAAAAATAGAAAATCACTTATTTCTTTGGTAGCGGGATCCTATACAGGCAATCCTTGACTTAATTGAGCTCAGAATTATGATTGTAAGTTGTGTCAGTCATTAAGCAGGTCATGTGGTAGTCATTAAGCAAACCCATTGTCCGTAATGGGCATATCTGCTTGAAACTGGAAGTAAACATTGTAAATAGCAGTCAGGGGACTGCAGAATGCTGCAAGCAGCATAATGTATGCCGATTGTTGAGTGGCCACAATGTGATCATGTGACCATGGGTGAGTGAGTAGAGACGTCCACCGGGATTTCAAATCCAGGTCATAGTACTGTTTTTTTGGCTCTATCATAACTTCTAATGATTGTCAAGCAACTGGTCATAGGTCAAGGACTACCTGTAAGTAAATGCTGATGAATTCAGTGGGACTTGATTTCCCAATAAGTATTTGGCCTGCAGGGTGAAGAATGTAATAGAAATGAATACTTGGGATAAATCCCCTAGGCTTGATAAAGGATGTTTCAGAAATCTGTTCTTAATGACATCCTTGTCTTTATCAAAAGGACACAATTTTATCTATTTATCTTTCACTTATTAAGAAGGAAAGAACCAAGAGCACTTAGTCTTGTTGCCCAATGTTACCCAACAAATTCCACATGAAGAAAACCTATTTACTTTCTCTACTTTTATCAGTCACTACAATTAAATTTGTGTGAATTGCCAATTGCACAATTCTTCTGAATGCAGTATTGTACAATATACAGATTTTAAAATATGTTTCAGAGATGATGTAAGTCAGCAAGTGTAGCAGAAAGCACTGCAGGCAACAAGTGAAACAGGAAAAACTGCAGAATAGCAGTAGGCAACTGAAAAGCTGTAAAAATGCTAGTCTCCATTCACACAATATTCTGAGATGAAATATTTTAGCCAGTTAGTTCAGTATGTGCTGTAAACCCAGATAGCATGTTCCGTTTATGGCTTACTGCAATTAGGTTAATTAAAAAAAATACTGAATTCTGTTCACTATGAATTAGCAACCCAAGTTTGGATTTAAATATTCTATTGCACAAAAAGAATGCAACTTCAACGTAACACTAATTTTTCCTTCTAAAACTTGTCCACTGTAAAAGTTTCTGGAGGGCTCCACATTTGTCTGAAGCAAGTTTCTCCACTTTTATCAGTGGGCATTTTATGATCCAAGCTCTAATCTTAAATTTCTACATTTTTCAATCATAATATTCTTGTGGGTCTGATGTTTTTAAAATCAATTTTCTCATTTAGTAGGGATATGAAAAAGCACTGCAATCTTTAAACTATGTTGCTCTCATTTTGAAGATGAAACAATATTTGGAAAAGTTGCCTGTTCTAAGAAAATTAAATTTTTCTCTTCTTGGATAAAATGAAACATGTAATAGTTTTAAATATTCTGGACATAGGGAAAAAAAGGATCCAAGATGAGTTTTCTTGTCTGTGAAAGTCAGGACTAGATGGCAGCAGAAAATACAATAAACTCTAAAATGTTGCTGCCATCTAGTTGTTAATGCAGATCTTGTATCCTTGGCCCTAATGTTCCCTGAAATAGAGATATTCTAAGTTAAACTTCTGTGTTAACCTCTCACAGCAAACACAAAGCCTTCAGTTAATTACTTTCTGTGGTATAGGAGGACATCCTGACAGAACATAATAGAACAGAAATAGAACCACCAGAAGATGGACTCCATCTTAGGAAATGCAAAAAATTGCCCCCGTCTTACTATCCGTATTTAAATCAGAAATGCATACTGAAAGTACATTAGAGTTAGGATTACATTTATAATACTGTATCCAGTAGTGCACAGAACAAAAAATTGCTTATGAGTCATGCACACACCTTGATCAACGAAACAACTCTTTATTTTAAACTTACAGAGCTAGATCTCTAGCAAACAGGTTGAAACAAGCAAGTTCAAACGCACCTTTGTAACAAAATGCACCATAGATTGCACCAACTGTGCACAAGAGCATTTTAAAAATGAATTTCTCTTTTAACAAATTCTATACAAATAAATACAATACCACTGGCCATATACCTAAAGGTTTGTTTGCTATGGCAATGGGTTTAAGGGAAGGGAAGGAACTATCGGAGAGATGTCCCAAAGATGCTTTTCAAATGGCAACTGGAAAAAATCAAGTGTCTGTCTCATAAGTAAAAAAAAACCATATATTTGTACCTTCATGACTGCAGAGGTGTGTGTACATTACATAACCCAGTAAATAGTTTGCCCTACAATGATGTCGTCTGTGGAACATCCAGCCAAAGTTATTTTATAACTGTTGATTGCACAAACTCATCACTCTTGATTGTTTCTAGTGCACCTGGTTGATAAGGCTCAAATTTATATGCCTCAGTCTATTTCATGATTGATAGAGACAATTGTGACATCACTTATTTTCTTTTCCCCCCCTGCTTTTAAAGAGACTTTGTGTGCAGATTAACACATAAGGAACCAGTTAATCAGATCTCTATTTAATTTATAAGTTGCATCTAATTTTCCAGAAATGTAGATGCAGACACTCCTCTTCTTTGACAAAGATTAAAACTAATCAAAGTGGAAAACCATAGTTGTTTCTCATGCACCTTTTTTTTTCTTTTCAGTAACTAACAACAATAAATACAAGATCATCTGTGATGTGTATATACTTGGGTATACATCTGTCTACTTCCTGTGTTTGACTTCTGGTTTCTATCCCTAGGGGAAATAATTATCTCATTAAACATATTTAGGCAGAATGCTAACCAAAGGATTCCTGATTGCCAGTAAGAACAGGCACTCTTTATCATGGCATAGATTTCAAAGACACTATTGTGAGCTCTTCAACTAGTAGTAATCCTTCGCCCTGAAACTAGTTTTCAGTTTTCATCAGCTATATCATAGGAGCCAGGATAGAAACCAGGAGACTCTTTGAGTTCTACTCCTGCCTTAGGCACAAAGTCAGCTGGGTGACCTTGGACCAGTCACTTTTTTTTAGCCTTAGGGAAAAAGCAGGGCCAAACTACTTCTGAAAATGTTGCCAAGAAAACGGCAGAGACTCATCCAGAAATCGAGACTGACTTGAAGGCATCAAACTTCTTATTGTTATTGTTTTCCTACTTATTACACTACTATGGCTTAGTATTTTCCAACCCTAAAAAGTTAATTTTTCATTATGTATCTGACATGAATACATAATGTAGAATCCATGTTAAAGACTCCTAAAAATAATGCTGACTTTTGACACTAACAAACAAGAAGCAAAATTACATTATATCAAAATTACCATACATTAAATCTAGAGTTTGGAAAATACAGAATAACAATAAAGGATCTGTTCAATAACGCCATTCCTAACTTTTAAAATTACACTAATACTTTAATAATATCATCCTGCTTCAATGAATGTGCCGAATAGAAAATATTCCAGGAAGGAGGTAGATTGGTGATCTTAGATTCTTTTGCTTTTTCCTAATATACTATCATTGTCACTCCCACAGATCAGCAGAATTTGACATTTGATCCAGTCACAGCCAACAAATACCTGCAGATATCCAATAACAATCAGAAAGCAACTCATCCCCAATTTTTTCAAAAACCAAAGCCAAATGACTCTCAAAGGTTTGAGCCTTGGCAAGTCATGTGTACTCAGAACTTCAGCCAAGGCAGTCATTACTGGGAAGTAGAGTTATCCAACCACTCCGTCATTGTTGGCGTAGCGTGCGAAACATTCACCAGATCGAAACAGGCTCATCAGAAGTTCACCATTGGGTTGGATAAACTCTCCTGGGGCCTGCATATCCAAGAACACAACTACGTGGCTTGGTACAATGACAAGTCTACAAAGATCAAAGAACCTCTGTGCAAATTCATTGGAGTTCTATTGGACTGTGATCAAGGAACGATATCCTTTTACAGCATAGACAATAATATGAAATGCCTCCATGTTTTTCACGCCATCTTTATGGAGCCTCTGGTCCCAATTTTCTGGCTTTGTGAAGGTACAGCTGTGACTCTTTGCCAAAGGCCACCCAGCCAGATTATAACTGATGAGAGGACACCTGATTTACAGGTATAGGCAAAGACTGCCCTGCCCCCATGGAAAAACTCTGAGCAAGCAAATAACTCTGGAACTTTGAAAAAAACTTTTAGCTACTTGGCTGCACAGACAATTCTTTTCTTTTCTGTATTTTATAGCTGTCTTGTGAATTGCAAGTCCTCCTTGCCCTTCCAGGTGAAGATGCAGTTACAGTAGATGCTTATATAGCACAGAATCTGATGCATGTGTGTTTTGGGGCTGCCTAAAGCTTTCTGGCAAACTACAAATATTAAGAAATATCAATAAAGAAATAGTGTGAACAAAAAAAACAACAACTTTTAATTGGGAAATTGTCACAGCCAATAAGAATCAAGTTGGGCAATAAAGAAATACACAATAATGTTTACCCTAGGCAGATCATTGTTGACAAGCTCTCTGGAGTCACTTCATTGTGAAAGGTATGTTGTGAAACAGTGAAGTACATATATACATTAGTTTCTCATATAGATGACTGTATACTAACAAGTTCTTAAGAATTAATTTTCCGGAAAGCAATTTTTAACATTTATTTTTGTACCCTTTTTCCTATTAGAAGAGACTATAGTAGAATATTTTACAAAATAATTAAACCCAGTCTTTAAAAAGATCAACATCAATAAATATTTGATAAGAAAACAATTATAAAAAATACAAGCATTAATGTTTTGTTTTTTAAGGAAACAGTTTAAAAGGAAATCTAGATCTAGGGCAGGTTTTATTTTGTTTTCCTAAGTTGGTGAAAATTTGCAGTTGAAAGAAAGCTTATTTTTCTATGGAGAAAATTATGACATATCTAAAACTAGCATTACAGATTTTTGTCATGTTTATTATCATTTTTATTCTGTTCATTCAAAAGGAAAGTTGGAATAATAATATCTAAAGATTCTCAGAACTGCCCATTAGCACGATACCTCTTAGAACAGTGGTTCCTAACCTTTTTTTCGCCCCACACCCCTAAAGAAATTTCACTCGAACCTCGCACCCCCTGAAATAAATAATAAATAAAAATGCCAACATAGCCAATATCCTATTATTTACCTGGACTTTTCTCGCACCCCCTGGAATATCGTCTCGCACCCCCAGGGGTGCAAGCACCCCAGGTTGGGAACCCCTGTCTTAGAATATTGAATAGAACAGGACCATATTTGCCATGTGTTGGGAGGAGGGAGGGTTGAAGAGAAACTGGAAAAAGTCAGCTCTGGCTAGAGGTTGTTTAAGAAAAGAATCCAGGAAAAATCTTTTTTTTTGTTTTGTTTTTTAAAGTTGTTAAACTCTTGTATTATGTTTTCCTTTTCTGTCTATGAATTGGATTATGCTCGTAATCTTCCAAGGCCATAATATCCCAAGGAGAGTAAAATTTAGGGCTCCATCATATCAAATAGGGGTCCATCTAATCCAGAGATGGCAAACCTATGACACACATGTCAAAGGTGACATGCCATGACCTTTTGGATGACACACCAGCGTTCCCCAACACTGAACAACTATTCTCAAAAGTGCATCCCATTCTCCCGCAATTTTGGAGGCTGTGGAGGCCATGGAAGAGCATTCTCTGAAGCCACTTCAAGAACAAAGGCCTCACATAACAAGCTGCAGGGGCCTGTTAACAGAAAGAGAACATTGCCTGAAGGTAAGCAGCACATGGCAAATCCTGTGGATTACACCCAATTGGTCTGCATTTTTTAAAAAAATGTGTAAAACATTATTTCTCTTTTATTGGGGGGCAGTGTGACATACCAACAAAGTCAAGTTGGGCATTTTCTGAATTTTTGACCCAAAATGTTATCCATCACTGATTTAATCCAAATACCTTTCAGTGTATACTCTTTAAATCAGGGGTGTCAAACTTGCGGCCCGCAGGGCAGATGCATCATGTGTTGGCCATGCCTACCCCATTTAGTGAAGGGAGGAAATGATACATCACGTGATGCCACGAGTTTGACACCCTGCTTTAAAATCATGCCTCCTGCTACTTTCTACCTCTCAAGTAATAATGAAGCCATTTTTCCATTTATTAGATGGAAGAGGAACGATACCTTTGGATCTGAAGAACCTTTCACCAACAACCATGTTGTCACTCAGTCCTTGATGATGTACTAATTTCTTGGCTTTAAATATCAATAGGTATCTCCACTATTATAAACCCATCCAGTTATGCACAATCCAACATTACCAGCTTGTAAAAGGCTTAATAGCTAAGGAAATGTGGTTCCAAATATTACTCCTGCCCCTTTATAATAGTGGTCACTGATTAAAAACAGAGAAAAGACTAATGTATTTCAGCTGTGTTTTGAGAAACTAGCACTAGGTGACGCTGGCCAGAGGACAGGAACTGCCTTTTCAAGCTTTCTTCACCTGTGCATCCAAGGGAATAAAATCAATTCATGGACGCTTTGAAATTAAGAGTACTTAATTTGCACAGCAATTTTATGGCTGAACATGGCAATTGTATTAATATGGTCCAAAACAGTCAGGTTTCATTAAAAAAGTTAAAACAGAAATTTAAGATAACCTTTGTCATTTTTTTTACTGTGAGCACACTGGCCCACATTAAAAATGAAATTCTGTTGCCTGCTCTCCAAAGAAAGTATGTATCTACCCATACACATAACACACACTATATACATACAAACACATACACATTATTAAATATTAATCATTGTCCATTTAACTGTAGCAAAACGGGGGGTGGGGAGTGGAGAGGAATATGCCAGCAATTTATTACTCCTAATACCCTCGCTACGTGCTATTACCCAACTATCTGCTGCTGAATTTGACGGGACTCGAGAAGAGTAAAATGAGGCAAATGTGTCCTGTTGGGAAAATTCGACGGCAGTCCGGGGGCGGGAACGGTCAGTTTCCCATGTTCCGAAATGTCTCCCTGGGATTCTTTCACAATTACTCACACATATTTTAATAGACTACGAAGGGCGGGAAAAGCTTGACGTGGATTCATTTCGCGCGCTTCGATGAAGAGCGGCACTTCTACTTTTCTTCTAACCTGAAGCGGGCGGCTTTCTCTTCGCCCCTTATAGAGAAACGCCACGCAAGGAGCCGGCCCCTCGCTTGCCTTTTGGGGGCCGACCGCGGCTGCCTGGTGTTGACCTGAATTCCCGATGGGCGGAGTTGGCGCTTCCAGCCCCTTGCCCTGCCCTGCCCTTCCTCAGGGAAAGGGGGCCAGCCCAGCGTCGCGCTCTTCGCCTCCTAGCTGACTTCATAGCAGTATGGACGCGGGCTGTGGCCCCATTAGCTCCGCTCCCAACTTTCAAGAAGGTTCTTTCGGTTGCCCCATTTGCCTAGACGCTCTGAAGGACCCGGTCACCACTCCCTGCGGCCACAATTTCTGCTTGGAGTGCATCGGGGCGCACAGGCATCACCCCGGGGGCGTTACAGGAGCCGGAGGACAAAGTGTCTCCCGCTGCCCCCTGTGCCAGGAACCCTTCCCAGCCGACCTCCCGCTCCGTAAGAACCACACCCTGGCCGAATTGTTGCAGCTCCGACAACCCGCGCCGAGCAGTCCGGGCCTGGCTATGGCACCTGAGGAAACCTCGGAGCCGTGCGCTCCAGGGAACGGCGATGCCCAGATCGAGGAGGTGCTTTGCGACTTCTGCACCGATGGGGAGAGAGCTGAAGCGGCTAAGTCGTGCTTGGTGTGCTTGGCGTCCTTCTGCGCCCCCCACTTGCAACCTCATCTGAAAAGTCCGGCTTTCCAAAGCCACCGGCTGGTTCCGCCGTTGCGGCACATCGAGGAGAGCCTCTGTAAATTACACCTCAAGCCCTTGGAGAGCTTTTGCCGGACCGACCGCAGCTGCATCTGCCAGATCTGCCAGACCCAGGAGCATCGGAGCCACGAGGTGGTGGCCGTGGAGGTGGAGCGGGAACTCGTGGAGGTGGGTAGGGCCGCCGTCGAGGTTACAAAGGAGCCCCTTTGTGCGCCCTGATTCCAGAGGAGCGACGAAGGGCGCAACCTGGCCCGGCTGGCAAAGCCTTTAAGCTGCGCTCGCGATTTCCAGCCTCGGAATAAATGTAAACACTCTGGCTGCCACCGTCACTGAAAAGTTTTGCTGGACGCTTTAGGATTTAGGAGCGTGGTTAGGAGTGGCGGTTGGAAGAAAAATTACAGATTGGAAAGTAGGGGTTGGGGAATGCGAGAATCCACATTGGAAAGGGATTGCAAAACCTGAACTCAAAAAGTCCACTTAATAAACACTTATTTCCATTTTAAGGGTATGGGCGCGTTCAACCAAAGAGGAATGAAAGGTAGATTGCAGGCGATCAGAAGCACATTTCAGGTGCTTAATTTTTAAGAGAAGAAACGTTTAGGGAACAATTTATGTTTAGGGATTACCTAAAGATGTTTAGGGATTACCTAAAGTTTAGGGATTTTGAGGAAGGTTGCAATTACTCTAGGAAAGATGATTCACAGATGTTTGTAGTTAAGTTTCTGAAAAAGAGAGGGATGGGTTCCTGGTTGCTTGGGAACTTTTCTCTTGGATAAAGAATGGGAAAGCATTCTGTTCAGTCTTGGAATCCAAAAAGTTCAGTTAGCCCTGGTGTACAAGGCTGACCAGGCAGTCT